CCAAATACTATAGTTCCGACAAAGGTAGAACGCCCCTTCCATCGTGTCAGTATGAATACGACAGAAATCGACATGCCACCTGACCTTAATCGTTGTGAATATTTGATTTTACTGATTTTAATTTATCATTTTTCAAAATATATAGAGTTTACCCGTGAAAGACACGCAAGGCCTCGAAGATAGCTACTTGCATCGACCGATTCCTCAATACTCATCGAGATACAAAAAATATCTTAACTAATAAAGGGTTTGCGTTTCAAGCTACAATAGAGGAATTGTTGACATGTAGAGGCGTCACTCTCCGATACACTGCTCCACAATCAGGTCCCACCTGAGCCAAGATCGTTGAGATCGCCTCGGGTTGTCAATCGGTGACGAGAACAAAAGGTTTTTCCGGCTTCGGTCTTATAAGGAGTCGAGATCAGAGCCGCCTTAAGTTCCCGAAAGGCCTGATCGCACTGCGGGGTCCAAATCAATGGCTGTTCTTTTTTCAGCAAGTTCGTGAGTGGTCCCGCGATTGCTGCAAATCCCTTGATAAACCTTCGATAGTACAAGGCTAGTCCCAAGAAGGCGCGTGCTTGTGTGACTGACGTCGATACCGGCGCGTTTTTCACCGCGGCTACCTTATGCGGTTCCGTTTGCAACCCCTTGTCCGTAACCACGTGGCCGAGAAAGAAAATCTTTGTGAGAAAAAACTGGCATTTCTCGAGGGCCACATTGAATCCACCATCCTTCAGTGCATGCAGCGTACATTCAATGTGTTGCACGTGCCCTTTGTAGGAACTCGAATACACAAGGATATCATCCATGTATACAATCACACAATAATTAATAATGCTCTGCGCCAGCCTCATTTTTCGCACGAAGTTCTGAAAAGTCATATTCATCGCGCGCTGAAACGTGGTTGGGGCGTTGCAGATTCTCATCGGGCATCGAACCCATTGCCAAGTCCCTTCGAAAAGAACGAAGGTCGTCTTTGGGCGATCTTCCTTTCGAACTAGGAGATGGTGGAATCCATGACGAACATCAAACTTACTGAAATATCGAGCACCACCAATAGCATCCAACAACGGGGGAGGGGATACACGTCCTTAATCGTGATATCATTGAACTTCAGATAATCAATACATATACGAATACGTCCCGCCTTTTTTTCGGTACAATCACCACAGGGAAGGACCACGGTTCGATGGTGGGTTCGATCCACCCATTAGCTTCGAACTCCTTCACCCTCTAGAACGCAGCTCGTCGTTGCGCCGGAGAGTATCGATAGGGGTACAACTAATTGGTGGATAATCCCCTGTGAGAATCACATGTTCAATCACACTTGACAACCCAATCTCACAATCATGCACACTCAACACCTCAGCATATCCATGCAATACATCAATCAACAACTGGCGAATTTCACGAGGAACGTGACCAGGTAAGGTGATCGTTGATCGTCCGAAAAGATCCAATCGTACGTCGGTTTGCCCAAGTTCTATCGGTTGCCTCCTCTCCACGCTGGAGAACATGGAGTTGCTGGTGCGGACCGAAACAACCGTAGCAAGCATCTGTGATTCGGTCGGGCTAATCATTTCGGTTCGCTTAATTTTGGCATTGGTCTTGAGATCAATGGTGCTTGCGGCTATTCCCAACCCAGTCAGCTCAGTCATTTCCTGCATTAGATTGGAAACATCATTGATCGGAGTTTCGGCCTCCTGCCTAATTAATGCGATCATAGCATTTTTCGTGAGCAGTGATCTGGGCAGGGAAACGGAAAAATCCAAGTACTGATTCATTTGTTGATACCTTTCTCGTAAGGAAAGCACGCCCTCGTACAAGGTTTGAGGGGGTTCCAAGGGGTCAACCATATCCGAAACTTGCAGGATAGGTTCTCCTAGGAGAGATGTTACTGAAATTTGAGTTTTCGTTAGTGCACATAGGGATAAAGGCGGTGCAGGGCCTGTATGGATGTCCTAGTAGTAGCCAGATTTATTCGAAATTCTTCTTTAGTTTCGTGACCGAACAGTTTGACTAGCCGACTCCATTCCTTTTCAGTAGGCATATAACCTAGCAGTTTGTCGTAATCTCGCTCATCATATTCGTCATCCTCGGACAGGTGGTGGTCCTCGTCGCTGCTTTCGGACGACTCTTCTGGGCTCGGGATATGTATCCGGGGGAGGTGGGGGGTCTTTCTTGGTGATCGAGTGGAGACTCGCAGCGGGACTGTTTGAGGCTTTCCTCTAGTATGCATAAGGACGAGCTCCTTAGAGTCGAAATGTATTCGTGCACCCACAACCATAGCCCAAGGCAATCCCAACAGCACCGAGTATGACTGTACATCGATCACTAAGGCGTTAACTAGGATATGTATTCGTCCTACCTTGACGGCTACGTTTTCAATAATTCTGACTCTGTTCATCTTTTCTTTGTCCGTAGAGACGTAGTTGTCCCTTCTAGGCAAGGGAAGGATCGAATTCAATCGTCCAGTTTTTCAGACGGTTTCGAAAGATATCGCTACCGCGGAGGATCCTGTATCAACAAAAGCAACAGGGGAATGATATGCGACCTTGTGGGGAATCAGTCATTTCCGGGCTTACTTATATGGTCGGAAGTTCACATTGGTGACTGATCATGAACCACTGTAGGCCCTGAAGAAGTCCAAGGACTACTCAGGTATGATTGGACGATGGGCGACCACGTTGTAGAGCATGGAATCTAACATTCGTCATCGGAAGCACGAGAAACACGGCAACGCAGATGAGATGACGCGGTTGCATCGACCCAGCAAGGTACCCAAGAATGATGAAGTGACACTCTGGCACGATCCGGAGCCAAAGAACGAGCCCCAGTACGGTGAGGTGGAGATCCTTCTGAAGGATTAAGTGGACACGAGCCCCCTCTCCCTCTTCTCTCTCCCCCTCTCTCTTCTTTCCTCAAAACCATGGCGACCTTTTTTCTTCTGCTCCCAACCCATTGATTCCCCTCCTTCTCCACATTTGGAATTTTTTGCCAATCTTCCGGACAAGTTTTGTTATTTTTGCATGTGTATTTCACAAGTTTTATGGAGTAGATTGATATCCCTTTAAATCAGGGTTCACCAACTGGGTGGATTGTGCCACGTATGTTACTCACGCACATGGCGCATGCATTCGATATCGAACGAGTAGTAAGGCGTGGAAATGCCCTCTGTGTCGAACGGATAAGCTCCCCACGAAAGTTCGCTTCGAGGCCGTCAGAACTGACGGCCCCGAATACGACGAAAAATACCGAAGGGCTGAAGTATGGATGGATAAAATATTATTGGCTAAATTAGCGGGCCGACCATTGGACCATCTCACTAAGCATGACAGGCGTCAGGCAACCGAGAGGTCCCGGGATTATCGATGGATCAACGGTCATTTCGAAAAACGTAAAACAAACGGATCAGGATTGTAGTTGACGGTTCCCCATCCCTTCCAGCGATATGATTGGACCAGATCGGCGCGCATGGAACAGGCTGCTCATTTTGCGATACGTGTCATTGAAGCGACTATCGACCAAAATTGATGGTTCTGGTCTAACATCCGGGACGACGTGAGACACGTGGTCGCTAACTATCTAGTCTGTGTTGTCAATCGTGCACCCCTTCGTGGCCCAAACACGATAGTCCCAACGGAGGTAGAACGTCCTTTCCAGCGAGTCCATGTGGACACAACAGATATCGACGTGCCACCTGGCCCCAATCGTTGTGAGTATTCTATTCTCTTGGTGTTGATCGACCACTTCTCGAAGTATATCGAAGTGTACCCCTCTAAGACACGTAAAGCCTTCGAAATAGCTACGTACATCGACCGACTCCTCAATATCCATCTTGATACAAAGGAGATCCTAACTGACAACGGGTCTGAATTCAAGGCCGAAGTAGAGGAATTACTGATGCGTCGTGGCGTTGCTCTCAGACACACCGCTCCCCATGTCTCTCAGTCTAACGGGTTGGCCGAGAACGCTAACCGCATGATTAAGACCGCTCTTTGCCGGAACCTAGCGGCCAACGACACGCATCCTTGGCCCGAGATAGTGTCTCAAATCATCGGGATCCATCGAGCGACCGCTCATGAATCTACTGGACTCACCTCCTTTCAGCTATGAACAAATAGTATCCCGTGTATCGACAATCGGGGTGCCACGGAAAACGTTGAGAAAGGGGGAAGGGACACATGGTCGGCCCTCAGGGCTAAGGCCAAACGATATGAGGAATTAATGGAAAAGGCTATCACTAGACTAGCCCGGAAAAGGCAGAAAATGACCGACCTGGCTCACGGTAGGCAGGTCCGTAGTTACGAGGCCCGGAATGGGAATGCAGGCTCACAGCACCAGTATAAACTAGCGGACCTAGTGCAGGTACGCAAATGTCCACGCGACCGGAAACTCGCTCCCAAGTTCTCTGGCTGCTTCCTCGTAGTGGAACTCGGTCCTTACGGAGCCAATACTGTGCGCATCGCGCCTGAGACCGGCGCCAGCCATAGCTCTCTTCCCATCGTCCGCCACACCTCCTACCTTTGCCCTCTCCCTCCCTCTAAGGATCTTGCCTCACCTTCGCCTTCTTCCTCTACCCGAGACGAGGATCTTGTTTCCTCCCCGTCGTCTGGCAATAGTTCTCCTCAGTCTTCGCCATAAGTTTAGCCATTGAACTGGCTCTTCCTCCACAGGTTCTTTGGCCTCGACCTTCATTACAGTTTCGCCAAGTCACTCATCCTCGTCTCAGTCCCGATCTCCTCCGATTCGCGCAGTTGTTCAGTCATCGGGCCTGGTAAGTGGCCGTGGATGAAACGATCTCAACGGAGCTGGGATCGGCTGTCATCTTGGTGGAAGCCTCAACATTTGAGCATTTTTCCCGGCCTACTCAGAGCGACGTAACAGTGATCGTTGCTTTTAGTGGCGATCTATGCACTATTGGCATCCAGCGGCGTGACGCGGTGGTCACAAGCGTCTACGAGTGGGGGCAGGCGTTAGTAGCGGATTGGCGGCAGCGGCTGGCTCGACCAGGCCGACAAGTGATGGGAACCGAGTGTATTGATACCTTTTCTCTTCGGACTAGCAGCAGTGATCCCCCTGCTCGGCCGCTTCCTCCTCTTCGCCCTTACCCCTTACGCAGATGAATCGCTTCTCTACCTTCTCTCTCCCTTCCGATCTTCCAACTCTCTAGCCATCTTGGGCCGAACCCCTTCTAACCTTGGAGATTCGCCCCGCTCCGATCCCTCCTTTCCATTCTTCTTACATCCGCAAGTGGACTGAGTTTGCGACGGTCAGCGCGTGGATGCTAACGGTGAAGTGCCACTGGGCACGGTATTATAGCAATCGGAAGTTGGAGATCTATAACGAGATCTCACTAGTGCTAGCACAAGCGTGGTCGGAGGAGGCAAAGACTGACAACACCTTAGTTGGGCTCCTCTGTGGAGGGATCGCCGAAGGAGGCCGAGCGACTATCCCCTACGAGATCCTCACGTTCCTATCTCAGCTTGTGGACGATCTGCCAACGAGCATCATCTCCTTCAATCCAAGCAATCCTAGCGAAGCCGGGCCTGTCACTGTGGAAAGAACGTTGACGCCGACAGTAATTTGGCCAAACTGTACAGAGGATGTCGGTCAATACTTGAGTGATCACGATCCTACGGCTTGGTGCTATCTGGACCTGAACGAGCTCGCGCCGGATAATTCCAATCTGAACGAGTACTGGAACGCTCATTTGGCACACGGAGAGGTGTCGTCGGACGACGACCCAAGTCGCATAGCCATCGCGGGGCTGTCAACGGAAGAAGAGTCGGAAGCCCGATCAACGACAAAGGAGGAAGAGGAGGCATTGGCACCCGAGCCCCAGGAGGCTCCTCCAGTCCGAGCACCACCTGCCGCACGAGGAGGATCTGCCCTGAACCCCGAAGTCCCCTCCGACACCGCCAGCCGTCACGATAGTGCGGAATCTTCCTGCCGGCGCCACCGCTCTCGCTCAGCATCTCCTTCCTCCACCTCCCCCTTCGTGCTTCGTCCCCGTCCTCCTCCCCGCACGGGCGCTCCGTCCTCGTCCCATCTACCGCCGCCCTCTTGATTATCTTTCATTTTCACCTCTTCCCCATATCGAATTCCCCCTAACCTATCGCATGTTCGCCAACCAACTCTTCTGCCACCACTTCGTTGTGCGACTCCTGTGCACAGTCTTTCCACATTGTTCCCCCTCCTTCCCTCTCAACATCCTTCTTTTCAGTATCGCCTGGAGGCAACCATATGGAGTTGTATTGCATCGTCTCCGAAACTTTCCCCGCGGCAGAGGATTATGAATCTCTACGCGGTAATATTCTCTGGAATATCCCAACCCTCTATCCAGACTATCTCCTCTCCCTCTCTCGACCCAATCATCAATTCCCTTGCGCGCACCTAATCGTCCACTTTGTCGATCTCAGTGACGAAGCCTCCGACTTATTTCCTCCCCTCCCAGCCGAATGGCCAAGACCACTCCATCACCCTCTCCTCGTCAACTATCGCCGATAGGATTTCAAGTAATGAAGCGGAACCGGCCAAGATTTGGCGGACCATGATGGTGTCACCTGGACGACCTCCGCCAATCGAGAAGCAAGGGGTGCACATGACAAGGTTGGATGGTAAATAATTTGCAAGCCAACGCGAATCGTGAAGATCCTGCAATTGAAGTTGGCGTCAACAATGGATTCTGGCCCGATCTGATGCTGTTACGAAATCCTGTACGTTCTGATACACTTGGTTCCTCATTCATCCCTTCGCCCCCTTACTCCCTCCTCTGACATGTAAATTGGCTTTCGTGCATGCAATCAGGAGATCGCATAATTTTGGAACCCCCTGAGCGTCACATATGTAACGCGTCAGCTTCCGGACCTGCTCTATCTTCCCCCTCCCCCCCCTCCCCTCTTTTTTCAAATTTTGGGTGACCATCCGACGAGGCCTCTTTTTTTGTATTTTCATGGATGTAGTATGTGAGACCCTCGGATCAACTTTTAAAAATTTGTCTTTTGCAAATTCGGGAATTGCATGGGAATTACACGCGCCTTAGCGAGCGAGCTAGGAATTTGGGTCGACGGTTAGGAATTTCGGGGTAAGCGGAATCCGACGTGTCCTTTCTTGCGCATGAATGTTCTCAACTTTGTCTTGGAAAGCTCTGGGAATTTTCGTAGAAATCAGAATAGGCATAGGACTTTCCCCCGCGCTCGCTCTTCCACACGTGTATGGTACTTTTCAATTTGAATTAGTTGTAACTGTTTCGGTGCCCTTTTTGCCTTCGCGACAGCGCCATGCATATGAGCCTCCCCTCCCCGCTTCCCCCGCTGCCCTCGACACTCCCTTCTTCGTGCCCATGCTCCTCTCTCTATAACCATTTTCCATCTCCCCTTCGTCGTGCGTGCCTTTTCTCTCCTTCTTGATTGTTTGAATCTTGGTTTCGTTTTCGCACTATTCTTCACGCTCTTCTTCCCGCTCTGATCCCCGCGCCGAAACACCTTGTCGACCCTCTATCACTCCCTCTAGCCAAAGAGACGCGTAAGAAGGAAATTCCTGATACACGACGATTCTGATTGGCCGCAGCTGGGGATCCAAAGGGTCGACATGGCTTTCGTCGGGCAATCCCTGAGCCTTCTCCCACTCCTCCCTGTCTCAGTCCTAACTCTTCCTAGCATATATCGTCTTCTCTGCAGCTATAAATTCCACCGGCGCTCCCAAAAATCTCTCTCTCGACTCATCAGCCCGCTTCCGGGAAGCTATAGCTAGATGGTATGAAGGAAGGTGCGAGTCGAAAAGTCCCGACGAGCGGGCTGTAGTCTTGGCGCTCGGCATGCTGGATCACCCGACGGATTGTGGGATCCGAGCAGGGCCGTGCAGAGGCAAAGTCGGCGGGGTGACGATCGCTAGGGTGGATTAGCACGTGACGGTCGGGATCGTCAGTGCAAGTGAGACGTTTTGAGTTGGAAATGAGTGAGTGCACGGCCTGGGGCTATGATGGAACTCTATGGCAGAGGTGCTTTCTTTCCTTTTTGCTCCAAAATTTGTATCTTCGGATGTGAGTGTTGATCACGCGGCTTTTAAGCCGGGACATCTCTGGACCAGATCGCCTGACATTATGTGATTGCTTTCTACTCGTTCCTCCCTTCGGGTCTGCGTCCATACTCTCTCCCCTCCGGTCACGACATGTCATAATGGATGAATTATGGTAACCTTGCTTCTCTCACTTCGGTATATGCATGCAATGAGTCGTGATCAGATATTGTGTTGTAGCATGATTGCAGAGATGATTGGTTGGGCGATTGAATGATTCGGTTGCCTGGAGTGTCAGACGAATGATGCATGATTAAGACCTGTGCTCACCTTTGCTGCCATGTGGACTGGCGGCCCCAACCCAACCGGGCGCCAACTTCCCGTGCCCCCGCCGCGCCCCTTTCCATACAATGAGGAAAGGACACGTGTATGCAAGTGGGACGTACGAGAGGTCGTCGCCAAGGTCGGCGGGCGTTACTACTTTCGTCCTGAGAACCGGTGCTCTGGATTCTTTGGTGCGGGTTTTGTTATCATTGATACGTATTTTCCGCCATATTCGTTGTTATTGCCCTTCAACGAACTGATCGTCGTCCCTTGGACGACAGTGGAGCCTCATTGGCCGGACACTCTTTGCAGCGATTGTCGTCGCCTCGAGCGTTATCAGGCCAAGGGGTTCCACTATCGCACACGCGGTGAGGACGAACACAAAGAAAAGGTCACTCAGCTGAGGCCCTCCACGTCGGACTCGGAGTTGTGTAACTAGCGCCGACGAGATCTCATCCGAAAACGGGATACCACGTGTGTACCCGCTCCCTTCCACGCGAAACGAAGAGCGACGGCTCATTAGGAAGTCCAGCGATACTTTTTGGATTGAATTTTTCATAGTTGCGAGCCCCGTGCGCGCCTTTTTGTCCCTTAAAACCCACGCGGCGACGGATCTTCTTCTTACTACAGTCGGACCAACACGGGGGATTTCAGTTCTGTCTGTGTCCCGCACTCAATTTTCCAAAAATCCTTGGCACACCCCATCTTCGTTGTCTTTCCCGGGCCCCTTTCCGCAAACCAAAATGCTCCGACCGGGAAGCAGCGCAGGGCGTGAGGTTGAGCGTGACCCCTGATTCCACAACTTTACATGTTAGTTCCCTTCCTCATCCACCACCTCTCTTACCCTTATTTCCTTTACAGCTCATGTGCAACGATTGTCGTCGCCTCGAGCATTATCAGGCCAAGGGCTTCCACTATCGCACACGCGGCGAGGACGAACACAAAGAAAAGGCCACTCAGTTGAGGCCCTCCACGTCGGACTCGGAGTTGTGTAACTAGCGCCGACGAGATCTCATCCGAAAACGGGATACCATGTGTGTACCCGCTCCCTTTCACGTGAAACGAAGAGCGACGGCTCATTGGGAAGTCCAACGATACTTTTTGGATTGAATTTCCCATAGCTACGAGCTCCGTACGCGCCTTTTTCTCCCTTAAACCCCGCACGGCGACGGATCTTCTTCTTACTACAGTTAGACCAACACGGGGGATTTCAGTTCTATCTGTGTCCCCGCACTCAATTTTCCAAAAATCCTTGGCACACCCCATCTTCGCTGTTTTTCCCGGGGCCCTTTCCGCAAACCAAAATGCTCCGACCGGGAAGCAGCGCAGGGAGTGAGGTTGAGCGTCACCCCTGATTCCACAACTTTACATGTCAGTTCCCTTCCTCATCCACCACCTCTCTTACCCTTATTTCCTTTACAGCTCCCCGTGGAAATTCCACAACTTTACATGTCAGTTCCCTTCCTCATCCACCACCTCTCTTACCCTTACTTCCTTTACAGCTCCCCGTGGAAACTAAGTGAATTCCTCCCCGTCCTCGCAAACCACTAGGTTCCCTTCCGAGTCCTCCAGCTTCCATTGTTAGAACTTGATCCCTCCTTCTACCGACATTTTCATCGACTTAAGAAAGAGTTGATTGGTATCCTGGGACTGAATTGAATACCAGGTTCCCGGAGGATTGACCCGCAGCGGGGACAAGAGTTGTTGTCATTCCTGTGGAAGAGCATTCAGCACTTGCAACTTCCGATCCCTGATGAACTTGGATGGTTTTAATTTTGGCTCCATATCCACGTCAGAGTGTCATGCCCTTGTGATATCGTTCCACATGTCTCTCAACCGAACTACCCCATGTTCCACCCAAGTCCTCCTAAAGCTGCCCGGGGACGAGTCCGCCAATAGCATATTTCCATTTTCGTCCCTGGGAGAGGGGTTTTCGAAGATGATCTATGAGAGAACCTCCTCCTTGGTCTTTGGGTGGCACACCATATCCGGCTTCAATGTCCTCCAGGCTTGGAGGATAGCTGATAAAAACTCAGATTGCACCCTTCTTTTTAGAAAGGAGTCTGTCCAAACAGATGCCCAGACATCCGATGAGCGACTCAAAAAGAGGTGAGTGGGATAAGTAGATGGTTGGATATCTAGCGTCCTACTAGTGAAGGGGCTAGCTCGTAGGATGGAAATAGGGTACAGCAGCAGCGAAGATGGTGCTTGCCGGAGTGAGGTAAGGAGGATTGATGGGGGGTTTCTGAGTCGTTTTTTGAAAGTTTCGGGAACTTTGCCTATTTTTTATTTATTTTTTTTCTCTTTTTTTTTTTTTTAATGGGAACAAGGCTATTCGTGGGGAGCAGCACATGCTGGGAACCGGGCCCAGCGTCCCATATGAAAATTTACATAGACTTTGAAAGTTGAGATCCGGCGTCATTACCCGGTTTGGCTAAGAAACAATTGGGGCTACTTAAGAAATTACTACAACAAACTTCGGAATTATACAAAATTCAGAAAACGACTCAGGAACCCCCCATCCATCCTCTTGACCTCACTCCGGCAAGACTTACTGCAGCAGAGCCACCATCTCTGTTGCTGTTGTACATCCTACCAGCTAGCCCCTTCACTAGTAGGACGCTTGATATCCCACCATCTCTGTTTTTGAAAACCCCACTCACCCTTTTTTGTTTTTTGACCAAAATCATATGCACAATTTGGAAAAAGACTCAGACACCACCAATCAATCCCCTGTCCCCCACTCCGGCAAGGCTTACTGCAGCAGAGCCACCATCTCCGCTGCTGCTATACCCTATTCCCATCCTACCAGCTAGCCCCCTCACTAGTAGGGCGCGTAATATCCTTCTCTCACTCGCCTCGATCTCTTTTTTGTGATACCGGGGCCACTACCCATCTTCGGCTGAAAAAACGTATGAGAACACTTATAGTAATTCAGGAAGACTTAGTATGGAAGTAGACCGCAAAGGTCCTGCAAATGATCCAAAACCCTTGAAATCCCTAGCAAAACCTTCCAAAGTTCTCCAACACTTTCCTACTCCCTGCCGAACTCTTCCAGGCCTCACACCCCCACATCCTGCTGGGTTACATGGCAACACAACTCATCCCAGCTCCGACCAGCGTCGTCCCAGCAGCAACCCTTGGTTGTCCCGTTGAATGCCCACCCCAAAGCATCCCCAGATCTCTGTATCAGGCCT